AATGCCCAACCCTTGGGCCAGGTGGGCACCAGTTCCACTGGCTGAAGCCACCACACTGCATGGAACACGAAGGCCAAGTTTTGGGACCAGAAAGAAGCCATTCTCAGAGGGACTGGACTCTGCAGCCTGTTAGTTAGGGCAGAGAGGTCTTTCCACACATAATCCCCTCCTCCCTTGCAGCCAAAGCTGTATCATGCCTTCCATGACCAGCTTTGCCTAGAGAAGAAGAAAAGGAAACTTATCTTTGCACATGTTCCCACTGTTGCCTTCTCTTTCCCTCACAACTCAAGGAACAGAATTTCTTCCTTTATGTTTTTAGCATATACTTAAACATTTTTTTAAGGTTTCATACTCAAGTCCAGCCCTACTTAAGCAAAGAATTCAGAGATGATATTTACAAGTCCAGTGTAATTACTGCGGGCTTGAAAAACGAGTTCTGTGAGTTACGGTGCATCATTGTTTTTCTTTTTTCTTTCTTTTTCTTTTTTTTTTTTTTTTTTTAATGTTACAAAGAACAATGTGCCTTTCATTTCCTGCAGTGCTGTTAAGGTACTTGCAGCTCAAAGCAGTGAGAATACATTAAAGCTAAAAAGCATTTGGTTTGGGCATTAAACATTTTTATTTTTTTAGAAACATGTCTCTCCCTCTACAGAAGTTGTCTGAGCAATGGATTTGGCACCCTTTTGCAATCAGCTGTAATAATGAATGTTACTTTGCTCACTTGAAATGGGAGAATTTACCGACTTCTTTTAAAAGAACTTGCTAATCTACAATTGAAGTGCTGTGCTACCAACTCTGAGTTACCAAATCACAATCCCACCTGCTCGAGAGCCATCAGTAGCCTGTCGAAAATGACACAGCATTCTCCTGCTTTCACAGCACACTCGGTGTGCACCTTTACGCTGCAGTTATTAATTCACCAGTGCCACCACATCAAACACAAACATCACCGTGTGAAAGCCTGACATCCATTTACTGACAGCAGCAGCACAGCTCTGTCCCACAGTTATTAACCACTCTATGCTACATCCTCCCTGCCTTTCTCCAGAGTTAAACTCCTGCTGGAGCAGAGCAGGATTTGACTTCTAATACTCTCTGAAAGCTAGAGTCACAAATATCCCCTCTTTGCAGACAAAAAGAGCAAAAGGTTTTCCTACAAAAGTTTAAAATAATCCTACTTACAAAAAGAAAATCTATCTGATAGCTGTTTCCACAACCAAAACTGAGAATAAAAGCCTGAAAGAGAGTCCACGGCAGTGCTGAGCTGGGAATTCAGTTGTTCCTGATCCCCAGGCATGCAGTCACTTCACTACATCAGACTACCCATTTTGTCATCCTCACTTCACAGAAAACCTAGTTTGTTTATAAAATACAACACCAAACCAGTGCATTTAACAAGCTTTTAAAATCAATAATATTTTTTTTTTTGATTGGGTGAATTGCAAAATCACTTTGCAGTGCCAACTGAAATGAAGCTTTTACATACCATTAGGCAACTACAAAAGTGGGGAATTTTCCACATGGGTGTTCCACCCAGCTGGTCAGAAAAAAACTCATTTGAGCAAAATATCAGGGCATCAGAACATGTCCTTGCCTTTCAGATGAAGTTGCTGGCCTCCCGCAAATCTACTCACTCTTATAACAAACAGAGAAATTCTGGGCTTTCTGCCTCTCCCCAAAAAGCTCTTTCCCTTGCTAAGGGAGGAGTACTGTGCACACCCTGTGGATATGAGCTAGTTTTATCCCCAGTTCCAGGACAAAGCATCTGGACCTTGGACCATGCATGCACCAATGAGCCCAGTCTCGCCTGCATGTTTGCTTTTCATGGCCATCAGGCTAGGTGTCTCTCTCTTTCTCTAGGAAATAATTAAATGTTCAATATTTCTGTGAATTTTTGCATTAGTGATCAGGTAAGTGACTGCCTGAAAACTATTCTAGCTTAATGAAAGCTGAAGGAAAGGCAAGAATTGATGTTGAAGCCACCACTGAGAACAGAAAATGTCACCATCTTCTCTGCCTGACATGATTCTGCTCCAGAAAATGTGACTGTAAAGCCCACTAGAAGAAAAGGAGTGGCTTTAAAAAAGAAGAGCTTTTTTTCCCTGTGAACTTCACTTTAATGAAGGTTAGATATACAGGCTTTCCAAAACAACACATACAATTTAGAATGATAAATTAAAATTTGTAGTAGGAGGCCTTCTTTTTCAGGGCTGTATAGTTGACCCTTCTGAACCTACATTACTCAAGGTATGCAAAATATATGTGTATAATAAATAGCTCTAGAATTTATGGAGTGGAACAGAAAGGATATTAACAGGCAAGTAGAGAGGCTGTATAACCCTCACAAGGCCTTTAAAGATTTATTTTTTTAAAATGAAGGAATGCATGCATGGAAAAGGTAGTACTGAATTGATACACTTCTTTGTGCTTTCCAGAAACACATGCAAAATGCTTCTAAATCTGCCCCCAATCTGGTCATTCCACTGTTGGCATCAGGGGGAATAAGATTATTCACGATACTATTTTTCTTTGATTTAAAAAAAAATAAAACATTCCTCTCTGTGTGGGCTCATTCTTACTCTCAGTAAAATCAATTACGAGCCTCCCATTGACTCCAGAGAGATTTGGATCAGGCCCTGTGGAAGTGGGTCTACAGCAAGTGTAGAACAACGCAGTTAATATGATTTATTGTGTCCGTTTCTGTGCGTGCAGTTTTTCATTTTCTAAAGCCTGCAGTTTTGCTTTCATCCTCACGTTCAGGAGATAAGAGCAGCAGATCTGTGTTGATCTACACGCCGGGTACCCTCAAGCTGGGGGCTGTGTGTGCTGGGAATGAGCTCAGTGTCTGCTCGGGGGGAACAACCCCTTTAGGGCCAATACACTGGTAAAGAAAATCTCCCACACAGGCAGTGCAAAAGGTGCGTTATCAGTGAGGAGGCTGCTGCTGTGGTAGGGAAAAATACCCTTTAGTAAAACTGAGAAAAAAAGAAAAAACCTTTTCCTGTCTATTAAAAAAAAAAAGTACCTTTTGCAGGTCACCAGCAAAGTTCCAAGAATTCACTCAAAGATTGTTTTACAAAGAAGACTCAGGCTCCAAATCAGAGATATTTCATTTCACTAGGCTCTTACAGATTTTACATTATTAAACACTGACATTGCTGCTTTTCGGGGCAGTTATTGAGTAACAGTCTTCGTTAAGACTGAGAAACTGCAGGGTAAGAAGAACTGAGCTTTAATAGCTGTGAAAGAATATTATTTAAACACAAAATAATAACATGCTTGGTGCCTAATACATTCTAAATTAAAATATAATTTAATAAACACAGGCAACATATTCCCCATAAAAAAAACCCGGCAGAATTGGCAGAACGAAAATCACAGTTTAGTCAGTTCTTCTCTTAACCTTGCAATCCTTTGGCTACAAATTAGAATTTCTGTGAAAAGGATTGATAAGGGAAATTAGGCACTGTCTTTCAGAAACAACATCAATGTTTTAAGATGGTATGTTTGGATGAACAGCACAAAATCTATCAAAATATGAAACCTTTCATATTTAATGTGAGGAAATACAGGAACCCCGAAAGCCAAAATCTTACCAGGCCAATGAGCCCAATGTTCTGTGTTCTATGATACATGCCGGTAATTTAAAGGTTTTTATGTACCTAAACATCTTCTTCTCCCATTAATTTTATCTCCTGTTGAAACCCTAATCCAAAAGCAATCTGGATGCGAATGTAGCCCTTCAGCTTCACTCTCCCTTGTTTAGTGGTTAATGAAGCCCCCAAAACACACAGTGAACATGTATACAGCTGAAGGGATTTAAGGCAAAAGCAGTTTGTTGCTCTGTGAAAGGAAAATCACAGCTGTATTATTATAGATACAATATTTTTACATAAATTTACAAATTCCAAAAATTGTGACAGGGTTCAGAGGCATAAACCTTCACACAAATTTTTTTCTATATATGCAGAGCAGATCCCGGTACAGTGGATCTCCCAATCTACATTTAGGTCTTACAAAAAAAGTCTGGTTATGGATAAGAAAAGTCAAGAAAAACTAGTAATAATAATCACTTTCACTTTGGGAGACATTCTAAACTCTAAATATAAGTAGTAAAACAAAACTCAGTTGCCCGTGGGCCAAAAAAAATTGTTGAGGTCTACCTTAGTTAAACACAAAAAGGAAGAGAAGCTGTTCCATTACACACGTATTTATCCTTTCACATACAGTGCCTACAGAAATTCACTATTATTGAACGATTTTTTGGGGGGCTGCTTTACAAAGCAAGCCACTGGTTCAGTAGAAGTTATTGCTTCTACTTTAAAACTGTCCCGGTCCAAAGAATACGAGTGTTCCCAAAAGTCACAGTCCTGCTGCTGCTTCCAAATAAGCTCAAGCCGCTGCCACCTGAAACCATGGTATTGAGAACATGGAGAGAAGAAGGGGCAAGGAACTATAGCTGAGACACCCTGACCTGTTTACTCACGGTATCTACGAACTTTAAAGCACCATGATGAAAAAATACAAACTATAGTAGCACCTGTAACAGCCCTGCAGTGGCACCTGCCTGAGCAAGTACTTCAGTGTGTCGTGTGAGAGCATCAGAAAACAAAAAGTAGTTAAAAGCACATAGATAAAGCCAAAAGTGATGAAACACATACCCCTAGGAGGTCCTGACTCATGGTCCAGGGACTGAAAGCCTTTGCTATGTAGGAATAAGGATAAGGGTTGCATACAGCAGGCTCTGTAATAGCACCTCCCTAATTAAAATTATTTTTAAAGGAAAAAAATTCTCTCTCCGGGACTGGAGAAACAAATGCTGCCTGAGATCAGTGAATCAGTAGCATTTTAACTATGAGGAGAGTGCACACCCTCTTTGTAGCTGTCCCATGTCAATTATTCTGAACAATCTTTTTATATTAGGCATGGGGAAAAAAAAAATCTTTATAAATATGGGCTGTTTTAATATCCCAAAGCAGGAGCAGCAGGTAAGAACTTACCATTTTCTGGCTGGTCCTTAATATCAGCTTCACTTGGCTGGCTGGGACTTTCAGATTGACTTGAATCTGAAAAACATAAAATACAGCCAAAAATTACAGGGTCTGCTGTGGAAAATAGATCAGAGGCGCCAGACTTCCTCAAAAGGTTGAGAGTACAAACTAAGCACAGGAGTGTTGCACTAGGACATGATAATGCAAAAGTCCCGTGCCCAGGTAATATGTTTGTAAGCAAAAAAAAAAAAAAAGGAATCTTGTTTACAGCACTACACAGAGTGCCTGGGGTGTGTGTAAGCATAAATTAAGCTTTGAAAATCCTTCTTTTTAAAGAAGGCATGTTTAAATTACTCTCCTACATGTTTTTTATAATGCAGCCTCTATGTTGTATACAAACCAGAGCCTTACTCCAACACATAGTAAAGTCTCAAAACATATCTTCAAGCAGGCATAGAAAGGTAACTAAGCAACCCCACAAAGTCGTGGAGATTTTTGGCTACACATTTCTGGAACAAAATCTGCAAAACTGAGAAAAGAGCTGTTTTTTGGCGTACTTTCGCAGTGGTTACAGTACTACAGGATCCCTAAAATGTACGGTGTTGGTGGTGAACTGCAGTGGGATAAATGAGACCAGATACTGGATGACCTGCTTTAGAACTTGTGTAAAGAATCCTACAAACTCCAGCTAACACTCTCCAATGAGCAAAACTTATTTGCCTAAAATAATAAAATTACTTATATGTGTAAATATGAGTGTTTTGCATTTTTTACATTTTATTAACTCTACTTTATGTGAAGATGATTGCTCTTTGGTCCAAGAATTATTCTTAGTAGAAGCTTTAGTCAAATAGTATTTTCCTTCTTAATTATTTCTGTCACTATGAATTGGAGAAAAAAGTCCCTTTACCTGTAGGAAAAAATATTTTTTGAAAAAATCCCTCGAATTACTGTTTTTGCAATTAATACAATTTTATTTTCTTTCCCCAGAAATTGTTCTGTAATTTACCAATTCCAAAAAAAAAGTTTTTGCTGTGAAACAAAACTTAGGCAATGAACCCGCTTGCTACTGCCTCAAACTCACCCCTAATCATGACAAACCTATTTTCTGACTTCACCTTGACTTTGCAGAGTTTGGAATTAGCTGTCTGAAATCTGACCACATTTCAGTGAGAAGTCAATGCAAGATCAAAAGGTCACGACACTTAACTGTGATTAAATTGAAAATCTTACTTCTATTGCAACAGAGTCATAACACCACCCCTTCTTTTTCTTTGAGGTATTAATAGCGCTGGAAGAAGCAGTACTACTAGTGACCTTGGGTCAAGCAATGCTAATTTATTGCTCTAAAAAGGTTCCTTGCTTTTAAGCAAATGAAGATTTTAATTACCACAGAGCACTATAAAGAAAATGCCTATTTTAAATATTCAAATTTTTTTTTTTTACCTGCTGACTGTCTGCTTTAGGTATCATTCAGAAGCTTAGAGGACAATATTGTATAAATTAAAAACTATAAGTGAAAAAAAAGCACTCGCCAAACAAAAATTGATAAATTTCAGATTATAAACATTCAGAATATTTAGCCAAGAAAGCATCAGTTCTGGTACTTCTATTTAAAATAATGAAATTCTCCTAAAAATTGCTATATTTCCCAGTGTGTCCAGAATCCATTTTCTCTCTTTTGTATTTTTTATTTTTAATAATTTCTCCGATGAAGCTCAGTGAAAAAAAATATTCTCACTTATGCAATTTTGTTTCAAAATATTAATCTTCAGGGTTATCTTTCCCTGATAGCTCAAATCAGTGCCAGCACATAGACTATGGGGTAACATGCACAGCGCTGTTATATTCTGGACACTTGATTTTGGCAAGAAATTTCACGTTTCCGATACCGTAAAGGTAGAAACAAAGGTAAAATATTAGGAATGTAAAATATTTAGTTAACATTTAAAGTCAACATTCAATGGATTTAATTTTACAGGGCAGGCATTAGGCTTTTGCTTATATTTTAGGTTTTTCTTTCCCTTCAGCCAGCCATGGCTCAATCAGCCTTTGGGCTTTATGTTTAAAGTAGGTTCAGAATTTCACAAAAATTTATTAGATTTGGAAAAGTTGCTGCTGAAATATGGGACTCAAAGCATGTTTTCCTTTCAAAATTCGAAACAATCCAGGGAAGGGCTTTGTGGCAGCGGCAAGAGCTGGGCTCGGCGCTGGCACCTTGGCTCCAGCACAGCCCTGCAGCCGGTGGGCAGCACACACAGCCCGAGCTGCTCCTGGATTTTGGGAAACAAAGTACTTTTGTTTGCACTGAGTGCTGTTTTTCCAACACCAAGGCTAGTGGCACAAGAGAGGCTCCACTGGCCATAGGACATTTGTTTGCACACTGAATCTTAACTTTCTTCTTTTATTACCCTGGTTACTGTGATAACATTTTTCCTAATTCTGTTTTCCTGTAACCCTCCCCTTTCTGCTGAAATTAAATTCTAATTTCTTAAAAAAAAAAGACAACGAAGGCTTTAAGCACTGTTCTTCAGGGAGAAACACAGTAAAATGCAGGATGAGGTAGAATTAAAGCCACTCTACACTGCAGTAGGGATCACGGGAGGCTACCGAAAACATGTACTGGGCAAGCGTATGCTCAGCATTGTTATGCAAGGTGGCATCTTGTGGAAACCCCAGATAAGAAGACTGAGTTAAGGCACTTAGCCAAAATGTTTATATGCAGAATTTTGCTTCCCTGATTTTATTCAGATGCCGCAGATGATCCGGTACATATAAATGTGCCGCCACATGGTTAAGGGATTGGCAAAATCAGAGCCGTTGTGTTTTACAGTCTTGCCTAGGATGAGGGAGTCTTGCTCAGTCTCCACCGCTCGCTCTCTGCTTTTTCAGCAGTTGGCACTAACTCCCGTCGGGGTTTTTTTGTTGTTTTGCACATGGAAACTTTCAAATTCCAGTTTTCTGAATGTTTGGTGTTTTGCGGGTTCGGCTACAACGTGAGGGGGAATGTCTGTCCTGCTGAGTCAGTTAGCCAAACAGGTGACCGTAGGAATAAATTAATTTTTGCCCATACATAATTGATATAAATGGAAGATCGTTTTCATAAGCATTTGCATTAAATCAATAAAATCACTTACTATAGAGCAGTTTAACAATTCATTTGATTTTCTCTTTTCTATATATTTGATAGCCACTCTGCAAAACAGTATACACTTTATGCCTATTTTCTTTAGCAACAACACTGCCAGTTAAATTCTACCACCTGCAATAATTAGAGCCATTGGAAAACATACAAAACAAAATATACAGTAGATGCAAGCCCCTCTTGAATCCACGGCCCCCTGCGGCAATGAGTTTCATTGGTGCCTTAAGCTAAGGCTGGTAGGAAGCCAAAGAATCTGTATATTACAATAAAGTGCATGTTATTAAGGGGAGGATTTAAATGATTTCAGATGGAGTTGGAAATATTATAGTGAGGAACCACTATTAAGATTGCTGATTAAAAAAAAAAAATCACCAAGGAATCTAGTTTTATGTTTAAGGAAGCTTAACCTTGAATAGCACAATGGGTTTTATTTGGGGGCTTTTTTAGTTAAAGAAAAGTTAGTGGTTGGAATTTTTAACCCTGAGTTAGCCAGAGTTTGAGTGAGTCTGTGCACTGGAGTCAAGGTTACTGGGCAAGCAAAGCTCAGGGGGATCTGGTATCAACCGTAATCATGGCAAACAGGATAAAAAAACATATTGAAGCTATTTTACTCTCTACTTCCAAGAATCAACTATGATTAAGGGATAAAGGAAAAAGAACCCAACCAACAAAACAGGCTAGTTTTTCAAAGTAGCATTTCCTACCACATCGCTATTCTCTGTTCCTCTTTGGATCTGCTCCTTAAGCATATGCTACCCCAGCACGACCGAGGTGGTTACGCCTGAGCCCCAGGTCTGCCTCATCCCAAACCATACGCAGGCAGGGACCTTCAGCTCCAGGATGGAAGCTCTGGACTTTTCAATACGCAGTTTTCCTTTTCAGCTGCAGCAGGAACACAGCTCCAGCTGGGCTGCACGACGGCTGCATGGAAGCAGGGCTCGCGGCGCTGGAAGGGAGAGCTCCATTGTTTGGAAAGAATAAAACCTTCCCAGGAAAGTCTGGCCTGTGGACAGGACCAATGTCAACAGACTGACAATGTTGTTCTTTTTTGTAGACCGTGACACAGACGGTGTAGAGTTGTTATACCCCTCCACCAAAAAAGCCTGTTTCAAATGTCATGGCACTTCCCAGTGCTAAACCACTCCATGGCTGCCTGACTTGGGAGAAATGGAACACTCTGTTGAGCACTCCCAAAAACACACCGCGTCTCCCAGGGCATGCTGAATCCAGCTTTGGATTCACTGAGGTGGCAGTGACCCCACTGTCTGCTGCTCTGCGCAAACCAAATTAATAGATGTCAAGATCATTTTTTACCTCTGTAGAGCCACCCCCCAGAAGAAGCTCTGCCTTTTGAGCAGCCTGTGAGCTAACACAGGTGCAGACACATCTATCGTGGAAACAGTAAAGGTGATCCCCACGTAGTGGAGTAAAAAAATTACCAGTGATGCCAGATGAGCAAGGCAGTGCTGCCATTGCCCATGCTGAGCCTGCTCTGCAGTGAAATAAAGCGGGTTCCTCTCCCCCACAGCCAGCCCAGCACCTCACAGAAGTGCACAAGTTAAATTTTCCATTCATATCATGTTTTGGGGGGGGGGGATATTGTATAATAAACTGACATATTTTATTCAAGTTTCAGAGTCCTATTTGTAATAAAAAATTTATATGGCTGGGTTGTGTTCATGCAATAAATTTTTCATCTATAATTTTGGGCATAGATCCTACCAAAGATTTATATATGTTAAAAAAATAATTTAAATCATGCTCCTTTATATACAGTCCTATGTGGTGAGCTTAAGGGATTTACAAACAGAAACCAGGACCAGAACTGGAGCTTTTTTACACTCACTTTTCCTTCATTATACATTATAATGTAAACACATAGGGATCGCTCCATATATGCTACAATTATTATTTATGGCTATTTTGGTGG